CACCGGAGAGATATGCACTCAACCTGGAGAACCTGGAGAATACACCAGAGAAAAGAGAGAATACAGGAGTGAAGAGGAAACAGACAAACATTACAGGTACATATTTAAATATTCAAATAATGACTGTGTAGAATTGTAATTGATGTGGTTTTTGCATGAGCTGAATTCCCTGCTCTTTATCCCAACAGATTTCTATCAGGCTAAAAGAAGAGTAGTTGGGATGCCGCGCAAATCCGGCGAGTGAATTTCGGTCCAGTTTACTGCAAAGGTGCCAATATTGCAAGACAACCACACAGACAGTACTACACTCAGGAATACTCCATTCTGCACAGACTCTACACAGTCACTCACCGGGAGGTCCTGCACCCAGTGAATCATCTGAAAACAGAAGGGACCTCAGCTACCTATGATTACTACAGGATAAATTAGGGTACTGTATTCACTCTGAGGGGGCTGGTGTTTTTCCCAGTGGTAAGAAGGGGACATTTGAGCAGAGAAGATTAACGGTAATCTCTCGAATCAGTGGATTTATACTCATTTGGATCAAGGGGATGCCAAAGTGTTGAGTGACATTTCCTACCGTACATTCCACAGTGCTGAAAACGTAGTCACATCTCTGTTTAACTGAAACTCTGTACCTCTATCAGTGCAGAGACATAATGAATGAGCATATTAATATTACTGTACACACTTGAAACAGATGTTATGTTGGTTAACATCATACTGTCTCTTAATGAAATTGAGGAGTGTCTGTGACTAAACTGCAGAATGATTGAAAATGGTAGAGAATGGATGAAGCCCTTTGGCTCCTCTATTCAAATCCACTAATGTTTTTTTTTTCTACTATGTTCTTTCTTTATGTATATCATGCGGGCAAGGAGTCTTTTTTCTTTTACAAGCACTTCCTGTTCAGAGTTTATTATACTTTATATATCCAGCTGTACAATTGTGTTTTTTCTACCATCATGTACTCAAAGGAAAAGGCTTGAAGAAGAATTGTGATATCCTGTACATGCAGTTGCTTTGCTTAGATCATAAATGACAGAAGTGCCATCATGTCCTCTTCCATCCACTGTATGTTGATTGGTTTTCAAAGTGGATCTCCACAAGTGCTCTGTCCAGACTCTGACATGTGTACAGCACCAGAAAATGTAGGTTAGGAGTGTAGCACCATGTCTTCGGAACACTTAAAGAACACTTATATTTAGGTTTATTTAGATATATATCAGATATTTATCAATAGAGTTTGATACAGCACTGTTAAGTAGCATAATCGGATAAAAAACATTGCAGTATTGCACAAACATCTGATAGGTGGTATATCCACAGCACCCAGTGTCAAGTGCCATTATGGCATTTGTTTTGGTATTTGAAGCTCCATAAAGGACAATCCGAAGAAAATGTTCTCAGAAGCAAATGTATTATTTACTAAGCTAAAGCTATGTGCTTTATTCTTTTCTATTTGGACACATAGTGCAATTGAACAGACAACGTGTTATTATCTGCCTCAAAACAAATACTATGTTTTTTCACGACACTTATGTATGTCTATGTTGGCAATCCTGCTGCTATGGGTAATCTGAATGGGTGTCAAACAAGGTCACTGTAATGCTAATCCGTATGAACTGACAGCTTTGAAATGTTTGCCGCTGTAAATACGAAGAGAAGCAAATAACAGCATTACCCCAAACAATGAATGCACTTCTGTTCATAGATGCTTATGCACAGGTCCTACATATTGTTTTATGTTAAAAGCTACAAATGAAAAGATCTATCTTTATTTATTGTGAGATACTATGCCTTGAGCTAATTTAGTTTTGTTTAATTATTATGAGAATTCCAAATTCCAATAAAATGTTAAAAATGATGTTTCTTGTGAATGCCTTAACTGTGTTGTCACTCTAGTCCTTCTTCCCATGCGTGTGTGTGTGTGTGTGTGTGTGTGTGTGTGTGTGTGTGTGTGTGTGCCGGTGTGTGTGAGATACCACATGATGAATAAATATGATTGATAGCAACATAGAGTCATTCCTGCTATTCTTTTGTTTCTTTCAAAGTAAAAAAGAAAATGTGGGTCACTGTGTCCAAATGCAGTCGTAAGACAAATGTGAAAATACTTTTTTTTAATGAGGAACTAACAGTTTTGTTTGCCAGGAGCAGTGGTGAGCACTTACTCCAGTGAAAGTAGCAATACCACAAGGTAAAATACTCTGTTACAAGTAAAAGTCTTCATTGAAAATTAAAGTGGAAGTACAGAAGTACTATTATCAACAAAATATACTCAAATATCAAAAGTAAAAGAATGCAATTATACACATTTGGTAGCATTGTGATGTTGTAGCTGGTCAAGGTGGAGCTAATTTTTATTATTTTATATCCTGTTGGGTAGTTTCATCTATAAAAGGGCATTATATGTTTTAGTAAATTATACTGTAGATTATGTAAGTAAGGTTAGATCCTAATCAGAATAGTTACTAGTAACCAAAGATGTAAAATATACTGTATGCAGTGAAATAAAAAAGTACAATATTTGCCTCTGAGATATAGTGGGGTAGAACGTAGTATAAAATGGATGTAGTCAATACGGGCACCTCAAAATAGTAGTGTGACACCCACTCCCTGGTGTTTAAACAGCCACCAGCTCTAAGGACCACTTGTGATCAGCACACAGACTCCTGGCAAAGGCAAATCAAAGTGGGTCACTACATTTATCTGACAGCTACAGGTAGATTCAAGTTTTAGATCGAAATCATATCAGATCAGTTTGTAAGTAAATTTACACTGTGAAAGACTGAAACACCCAACAGTGTATAAAGAAGTTGACCAACTAACAACAGTGCAATGTTTGTTTCTTTTTTGAATTCAATTCATCAATTATAATAATCTAATAAAAATATAGACCACTGAGGCTGGTTTTGTGCATACTTGCACTTCCAATACTTTAATTACATTAATTAGAGGTACAGGAATGCAGGACTTTTACTTGTAAATATTTTTTTACATGGTGGTAATCCTACATTTACTTAAGTAAAGATCAGATCTATGGGTTTGGGCCACAGTGTGAACACCACACACACCTCTTGGGTGTGTGTTTACTGACACCAGCAGGTGCGAGTTTATGGTTTTGTGTTTCCTTCCCTTGTCTATCTTGTACTGTAAAGACAGATGTGCCAAGTTTTCAGACTATAGATGAGCACAATGGTTGTGTAAAGACTGGATATCAGTGGTAACAGCTAGCTGCTGCCCAGAGAACCTAATGTTGAATGAAATATTGAAGACATTTTACGGCTAAAAGATTTTTCCCTTTGTTGTCAGGTTGGAAAAAAGTGAAGGGCAACAGGAGTCACCCTAGACCTACTGGTACTCTTGGAGGGGGAAAAAGTTATTTTAAAGAGGAAACAATATGTCTTCTACCATAGGGTGTGGCATAAACATTTTAAAATATATGGACTAAAATATAAAATATACCAATGTCTTATTTTGTTTTTGATGTATTCATTTTATTCTTAAATTACATTTATTTACAGTACAAGAAGTACAGTACTTCTTGAGGTACTTTAGTGATTCCATTTTATACTTTATGCTTCTACTTTGCAACAACTCAGGGGTAAAAACTGCACTTTTGACAGCTGCAGAAAAAGGAAAGGAAAAACCTGAAAAACAAGTGGAGTAAGAGGATGACACTGCCCCCATCCATAGGACACGAGGGCTCAGTGAATGGTTGATTATGATGTGAATCATATGCTATGGCCTTCACAATCTCCAGATCTCAACCCAAATGAACACGTGTGGGGGATGTTGGACTGACGTGTTGGAAAGCGCTCATCAAAACACCAAATGAAGGAGTATCTTTTGGAAGAATGGTGTTCATCCCTCCAGTGGAGTTCAGAGACCTGAATCAGGTTAGAATTAGCTCCAGATCCATAAACTACAACGCTACTCACACATTAATGCAACAATAACAAGAATCCAATAATATAACATAATGTAATAAAGCAATGTAGCAGTTGTTTGTCTGCAGAACAAGTACTTTTACTTTTGATACTTAAAGAATAATTTGCTGATAATTCACCTGTACTTTTCCCTAGAAAAGATTTTGAATCCAGGACTTTCATTTGTACTGCAGCTTGTTTTCATCTCTGTTTTGTGGGTATCCCTCTACACAGACACACAGACACAGACACACACACACACACACACACACACACACACACACACACACACACACACACACACCGGCGCACAAGCCAGCACAAACAGAGGTTTGAAGTTGAGTGCATAAAACTTCAAGTAGCCCTGAGTAGCTGAAACAGTCTTCTGTTGTTGTGATGTCACACTTCTTCTTCATTTGTGAAGAGCAGCAGAGCAAAAAGGAGAGAGAGAGCCACTGCTCAGACAGACACTGTTTACTCTGGCACCACATCACTGCAGTCCCACATCAGCAGCAGCACACACTGGGTATATGTGTTTGTATTGATGGTTTGGGGATGAAGGGCCTGGAGCAGGCCCTGCCCACCCCCCCTCTGCATGCCTCTCTCTCTCTCTCTCTCTCTCTCTTCTCTGGCCTCAGCAGCATGGAGGGAGGCACCTGCACGCCTGCGCCAAGCTCTCCCATCCCCCCGCCCATCTCCCTCCATCATCTGTCCCTTAGCTCCCACATCCATTATAGGGCAGGACATCCAGCATTTGCATTTAGACTGAAAGAGAGAGAGAGTAACGGAGGGAGGCGGAGGGAGCATATGACACAAAGGAGAGAGAGAGAGAGAGAGAGAGAGAGGGAGAGAGAGAGAGAGAGAGAGAGAGAGAGAGAGAGAGAGAGAGAGAGAAATAGATCAGAGCGTTGGGGAGAGGGAGAGGGAGTGGGAGGCTGCAGATATCGATGGCATTAACAATGGAGAATTAGGAACCAGAGAGGTGATAGTCAGCCAGACAACGGCTGAGGGTAAAGATATTTGAGGAGGGGGGCACAGGGGGAGGAGGAGGAGGGAGGAGGAGGAGGAGGATGGGCCTCGAACACAGACTTGCAATGGCACTGCAAAAATTGGATTAAAGCAGTATGGTAACGTTTCTAATTTAATTTATTGCTGTGCTGCTTGTGTCTCATCCTCATGTGTTCGCATCCACGCTTGTTGACGTCCATCGGCCGTATCTCATGTCACAGTGTTGTCTCCTCGCCTAGTGAAGAAGGCACAGGCACACTCTTGTCCTCTTGTGTTTTCTGATACCATAGACATCTGCCATCTCCATCCTCATCCTCACAGCCCTCCCTCTCTCCCAACCTCCAGGAGCTCTGAATTCATCACAGACATCACCATGCGTGCTTAAAAAAAGAAGAAAAGAAACCGTTAGATTTGAGCATCATTGCAGCCATCGCTGTCTGCTTCTCTGTTGTTTGTTGTTTGTTGTGTCGTATCGCTGGACACTGCATCTCCTCCTCCTAGATGAGCCATCGCTTAGCCACTGCAGAAGCATCTCACTTTCTCTTACAAGATCAGGAAATGATTAACCACCAGAGACTGCAGTCATCTGTTTTTCCTCGCCATTACAATGTGATTGTAACCTACTAAACACACGCGCGCGCGCGAGCTGCCTGCTTCGCTTCGCTCTGGGTGATTATAATAGCACAGGGAGCTTGTGCTCATTTCACACTGTCACGCAAATAAAACACAAATAAATCCGTGCACCCGTCCCGCCCAGAGAAATTAGAGCAGCGCTGTGAGATGTTTGGTGTCATGTGTCTGCCTGAGCTCATGTTTGCAGGGTCTGATTACAATGTTTTGACGTCAGGCAGAGGGTCATTAACAGTCCCACCATCTGCCAAGCTACACATATAGATAGGACACTGACCAGGGATTCCCCTCCTGGATCGATGAGATGTCAGCACATTGTTTAAATGGATTACAACATTGTGCTATTGTCTTTCTTTTAATGACGGACATACATTTAGGTTGATGCCAGAATCAGACAATCATCCAGAAAACTAATGAAGAGATTTACATGAAGGGCCAACCATTCATCATCATTATCATAACTGTCACTTGCTGCACACCATCATTGTTTTAAATGTACCATGCAGTTTGGTTTTACTCTCTTATTCCTCATAAATACCTAATGCATTTTCAAAGGAGAGGCGTTTTAAAGTAAATTGTGTGTAATGAAGTTGAGTTTCTGAGGCTGTGCAGGGCAGGAAGCAAAGTAATTATGTATCATCTAATTAATGCATGATGGCCTTTCTGCGTGTTCTCTGATGCCCCCACCAAATCAATTACTGGCATTACCACAAGGGGTGGAAAGAAACTAACTGCAAGTAGGCTACTCTCATTTCATATGTGGTCTTTACATGTGCCCAGTGATTTTACTTTGGCCTGAGTAGATATTTGGCTAACTCTGTAACATGCTAACTATGACTACAGTTCTGCTGATGTTATTTGAGACAGTTTTGCGTTGAGTTTATCAGCATTTGTTGATTTCCAAATGCATTCCTTTGGAAAACAAATACTCAAATCACATCTGTGTATATATTTGGTCATTGTTAAGTTATTATTGGAAACTTCAAGGAAATAATTGATAATTTATATGAACCCATAAAATAAAGTATTGCCAATATGGTAACCCTTTATTTTACAAGCTGTTATACACATATAACAGAGGAGTTTTTTGTTATGGGATCATTAGATGATATTCCATCTAAGCTTGAGATAAAACTTCTGTTGCCATACAGAGTCAGTCAAAGTCAGGATGCTACAATGGCTTTTTCAAAGTGCCTCAAAATAATCATTTAAAGAGCTACATTTGTACTTTTGCTTGAGTAGATTTCAACACAGGCAATGCTTCTTCTATTTTAGTAAAGTCATGTTGGATTCGTTGTGGTACTCGCTCCACCCTGGATTACCTCTCCCTGTCCTCTCTTCTCCCCTCAGCTGGACAAGAGTGAGGTGGCAACTCTAGGCATACCCTCCACCACCAGCCATGGAGGTTCTGACAGCAACATCAGTGTGGACGGAGCGGGGGCAGCGTCTGGGATCATGGCCGGGGGTGCTGAAGGTTCGATGGCCGGCGAGCCACAGCGGACTCGTGCTGCTCTGGAGCACCTGCAGCAGAAGATCCTGAAGGTCACTGAGCAAATCCGTGTAGAGCAGGAGGCCCGAGACGACAACGTTGCAGAATACCTGAAGTTGGCCCACAACGCAGACAAACAGCAGGCGTCCAGGATCAAGCAGGTCTTTGAGAAGAAGAACCAGAAGTCAGCACAGACCATTGCACACTTGCACAAGAAACTAGAGCACTATCATAAGAAGCTAAAGGAGATAGAACAAGTAAGTGAGAAAGTGTGTATATGCAGTTAGATAGGATGTGCACATGTTTCACATTTTTATGTGTTGTTATTTCTGAGACTGTTTAATTATCTCATGACTGACACAAACAAGTGTTCTATATTTGTGAGGTCAGTTGTGTCCAAATATAGACTGATGCTTCTCATCTCCTAACACTTACTTAAACCAATGCATCACCCTGTGTCTCACCTAATTCTCTACAGGACCTGTTTTCCTCATCTATCTTCCTACAGTTCTATCCCTTAAACCTAATCACCGCTCTCCTACCTTTAAGATCCTCTGCTTCCTCATTTCTCTTCCCTCTCTACAGAATGGGCCAGCCCGGCAGCCTAAGGATGTCCTGCGGGACATGCAGCAAGGATTAAAGGACGTTGGAGCCAACGTTCGTGCTGGGATAAGTGGTTTTGGAGGTGGAGTAGTTGAAGGGGTCAAAGGTGGTGTGTCTGCCCTCACTCACACAGCTGTAGTCTCCAAGCCGAGAGAGTTTGCCAGTCTTATCAGGAACAAGTTTGGCAGCGCAGATAATATCGCTCACCTAAAGGACACACTCGAGGACGGAGTCGGGGGCCACTCTGAAGACACCCCCACACCTCGTGCGCTGAGTGGAAGTGCCACTCTGGTCTCCAGCCCAAAGTACGGCAGCGACGACGAGTGCTCCAGTGCCACTTCTGGGTCTGGAGCAGGCAGCAATTCTGGTGGAGCCGGGGGAGGAGGGGGAATATTAGGGCCAACAATGGGGAGTCCCAGACTTGATGGGCACCACCATCACCACCACCACATGCATGGCTCTTGGGACTCTCTACTTGAGGGCCTGCAGGAGATCAAAGCCAGCCAGGCACATATGGAGGATGCCATTGAGGACATGAAGGGCCAGCTGCAGAGTGACTATTCATACATGACACAGTGCCTGCAAGAAGAGAGATACAGGTAGAGATCCCTGAAATACTGGCAGTAACTCTCAACCCAGGTGTTAAGCAGTTATGACCTCTGTTTTAATCAGTACAGTCCTCATAATGTAGCTCACTTGAAGAATGTGGCCTAAGGTGACCAGATATCTGAAACGAGATGCAGGGACATTTCCCGTTTGGTGTACAATGTTTTTATCTATGAATTAAAAAAAGGGGGACAGACATGTATTTTGACCACGGTAACTGTTGTATTGTAATAAATGATATATAAAGGCCGACTGATAAAATGACGACCTCCAAAAAACGGGGACATCTGGTCACCCTTATATGGCCGGCAATATTCAATATTTTTTATAGTATAAACATATCCTATGAAAGGACTGAAACCAGCAGTGCATGTATCAGGCTTTGCTTATACAGGAAATATGTGATGTTTGACACTATTCAAGAGTTGAAGTTTGATTTTCCCATGAACCTCTGCATATATTTTTGGTGAAGCTTATAGGATTCTTATGTGTGTTTTGCACTGTAAACTCAGGTATGAGCGACTTGAGGAGCAGCTGAACGACTTAACAGAGCTGCACCAGAATGAGATGACCAACCTTAAACAGGAGCTTGCCAGTATGGAGGAAAAAGTGGCCTACCAGTCGTATGAGAGAGCGAGAGACATCCAGGTAAAAAACCTGCTACATTATTGCAGAGTAAAGTCAGGTGATGTTGTTGTGAGTAACAAAGTCTGCATAATGATGAGGTCAGGATGGAAGGATGGTTTAGAAAATGGCCTTGAACATGGGAGACATGTTCATTTCTGTTTGAAACTGACAGTCAGCATTTCTTTAATTTTCTTTTTATCTATGACCATTCGTTTCGTCCAACGTTTACCGAGTTTTTATTCTTGTAACCATGTTGATGATAGTCCTCTAACCTTAATTAAGTACCTATTTGAACCCAAATCTTGATTTTAAACAAAGTTGTTTTTGTACCTAAACTTCAGCAAGCTGTGACTGTTCCATAACCATGACGGAGAAGGCCCAGTACTCTCCCATGTGTTATTCCTATTTTCATGACTGAAGAGGATGAAACAAAGATTTTATAAAAATAAAGTCAAATTAACAGTCAAAATTTCAACAGATTTGATTTAGAGCGACCAAACAATCCTCCAACTGTTGCCATCTCTCAGTTAAAAAGCTGATTGAGAAAAGACGTTTTCAGGGACTTACAAGATATTGCGGAAATAAATCTCACAGTGTGGTTACTCTTTGTGTGTGTTTGTGCATACAGGAGGCTGTAGAGTCATGCCTGACACGCATCACCAAGCTGGAGCTGCAGCAGCAACAGCAGCAGGTGGTCCAGTTGGAGGGAGTGGAGAACGCCAACGCTCGAGCTCTGCTGGGTAAACTCATCAATGTCATCCTGGCGTTAATGGCCGTGCTGCTGGTCTTTGTCTCCACTTTGGCCAACTTCATCACCCCTCTGATGAAGACCCGAGCCCGGGTAGCCGCCACCGTCCTGCTGACTTTGCTGCTGTTCATCCTGTGGAAGCAATGGGACTTTGTGGAGATGTGGCTGCTGCCCAGCTGAGCTCCCTGTGAGAGACTCCAGAGGGGACCAGAGAGAGTCACAGCTGGTTTCAACTCAGTCACCACCACTAAAGGATCCGGAGACTGAAATAGAACGAGAGCTGCTGCACTTGTTCCCTTTGAGTTTAAAGTGGGAGTATCTGAGGACAAAACATGGCACTTTTAGTAGAGGACAGGGCGAGATCCAGCCCACAGTGTGTGTCGAGAGGTGTTTACAATGAAAAAAGACAAAAGACATCATCTCATCTCGCCCAAATCTATTGCTGTTGATGACCAATCATCGATTGCAGTGCTATCACCAAAAACTGCGTTTCTTGCAAGACATCTTTGGATCGTCTTTTCTAATTATTTATGATACATGAATAACAAAGACTAGAGCAACTGACTGTAAAATGCTGATCATGTTTGCTGCAACCTTCATGTTGAAGCTATAGTATATTTGAGAGGAAAAGTTTTTTTTCATGAATGTTATGTGCTCATGCATGTCGTCATATGTGCACTGAGACGCATTAGCTGGCATGAGTTAACATTTCAATAACGACAAAATGAATCAGAAATACAGTGCAGATATGATGTATTCAGTGTCATTCCTGGTTTGTTTTACATCCTGGTCTGGTGTTGAAGCTTTTAGACGCTTTTCTTTCTTTTTGTCTTTTTCTTGAAGTCGAAGGAACAGGTTTTTTTTTTAATGCTGATATCTACTAAAACCCACCATAATAATTCAACTATGTAAAATCTGTTCTGTCCATAAATACTATTTCATGACCACTATTATAGAACTGCTACTATTCACAGTGTCAAACTAACTGGCATGTCAAATTGTATCAAGGTTTATATCCAGTTTGCAAAAAATAATTATTGCTGTTTTATTAAACAACGTGAAAAATAAATGATTTCATATATTAGGCTGATCTTGGATGTATCCTTATCATCCTTGACTGAGACTGAACTTTATGACTGAAAGGCTTTTAGACTGAGTAAGAGAGTAACATCTTACATAACTTAGATCTAGATACAATGGTAATGTTTTCTAATAATGTAGCCTATATAACACCTGTAAAAAGTGGCTTTATTAATTGTTAGTAAAGTGTTTACTGAAGCTAAAGCTACAGCTTTTAATAAGGCCGAATTTTAGGTTGCCAGGTTGTGAAGAATCCTCTGACTTACTGGGAAATATGGACAGTTCTGAAAAAGGGTAGCAGTGTATCTGGACCAAAAACTATTTATTATCAACTTATCAAGCATCTATTAATGGTTTACCAACATTATAGCCGCAATATTACCAAATAGAGGATGAACACAAAAATCACAGGGATTTTTTGCAGCCCAGAAAGAGAAGCCTCATTGCTGCTCCAAAAAGCGTTGGTAAAAAATAAAGGATTTATTTACCATTAATAAAAATTCCTTGAATTCCTTGAAATTACTTGAAGAGTGCCATATTAGAAAGTGGTGCTGAAATAATAATAATAATAATATTAGTTCAGAAACTGAAATTGTTAGCATATTCATTTCATATTATAAAAGAAATAACTGATAATGAATAAAATAACTAATATGTTCAAGTAATTTCATATGTATGAATCTGCATGACACTGCTGACACTGCTGACATAGTTTGATCATCAGAACAGAAACTGCTCTTTGAAAACAGATGTTTTCTAAACATCAACCTGTAAAGATGCAGATAACAGTACAGGAAAAATCTCAATGCTGTTCAGAATTTAGTCAGCGAACTGACGTTATACAGCAAAATGTTTGCTAACTTTAGCTAACATTGGCCACCGTAAACTACTGGTCATACCAGACCAAGTGTGTTTTGAACAGAGCCACAGTGCATGTTATAGCTAATGACAACAACTTTTCATTTGAAAGAAGAATGTGTTTATCTTTTCTCAAAAATCACAGGGTCCTATTTCAAACATTAGCCCCGGCCAACATTAATAAAATCTTAAAGTCAGTACTTTGTGCTTTATGTTACGCTAATGTGAAAGATCTCTTCACATTACATCACTGAAAATAGAGGACCAGTTCTCTGCAGCAAAGAGAAATAATCCACAGAGATTATTTACTTTTAAGGGTCCTCAGTAGCATCTTTGCCTGGGCCAGATTATATTTATTCTAGGTTTCAAATCTTTAAGAACACATTAGAGAAGCAGAATTAATAGGAGGCCTCAGATCAAATGTGGATCCGTCTGCTAATCCTGTGGATTAATTCAGTCCTACTTCACTGTATCTGTCTCTTATGATGCTGAATGTGTGAAGAGATGATTGCCAACATGTTTTTCCTGACTCCATTTATACACACGGGACATGTATGTAACCTGCTGTAGTGTTTTAAAGATAGATGTTGTGGGCTAAATCAGTGAGGCTACATAAAAAAAAAGCTCATTACTTTAACACTCTTCTTCTCCTACTGACATTTTGATTCATTTAAAATAACCTTTCATGTTCTAGAGAAACTATTCGCTCTAAAATGAACACAACACAAAAATGTTTCAAATTTGTTTTGTCTTTTTAATAATTACTGTCAGACAAAACCCATATGACCATTACATTTATGACAGGTATTCTTACAGTACAAGACAGAACTCAAGGGGATCAGAGCTTGTGGCATAGCCACATCTGACCACTAAAAAGTAAGACATTCATCGTCATTAGATTGTTCCAACTTTTACAGAGTTCACAAATGTAATTTGCATTTGACTCGTATCAAACACAACAGTTTTTCTTGATTACCTAGGAAATTCTAAAGACCTTGATAGAAACAGCAGAGTAGAAAAAAACATTGTATAACAAGCAGAAGAATTCCTGATTTTATCTCAATTTCCTGTCAAGATGCAAGATGTACAGTATATTGCTTTCAGGTGCTTAACTCAAAATGGGTACCCCAAGTCTCCCAAAAACACATTCCTCAGTATCGCAGTCTGCCCTATCACTCGTTTTCAATCTCCTGCATTTAAAAAGCAGGTGCAGTGTCTCCGACCTGGGCTCAGACTAGTCTAACAGTTAAACCGCAGGAGGAGCTGCCATTTAAAGAAGTTACAGGAGCTAAAACATGAACAATCACAAAGATAGGACCAACAGTAATAGCCCCTCCTCAAAAGTGCAGCTTTCCATCGCTCATCTTCAATCAAGTGTCTGAAACTTTTTGCTTCTTTTTGTGGAAGTGAAACATAGAATGGCTACAAAATAAAACTAAAACAAAAACGATTCCTGTTCACTGAGAGCGCACACCAAGGCCTCGAGCCTAAGACACAGTATCCAGTCACAGCAGTACAATTGAGGAGAGGACATGGTGAAATACAAATGACACGATGAGTATTAAAAGTTTTCAAAACTGACATTTCACAATAATTAAAAAAGCTGAACAGGAGGCAACACAGAGTCTGGACTTTAGTCTCTTCTATGACTACACTCCTTTCATTCAAGAGGATCTACGCAATCATGTTGAAAGATGTACCTCCCATAGTATTTAGTGCATTGAGATCAAATGTACAGTTACATATAAAACGCACATTGTCAACATTATTGTGAGAAAATGCTCCAAACTCCAGAATCCGTGTTGCCTCTGAATGTAAAATGCTGTCTCAGGAGAGCGCCTGGTTGTTTCCAGACTCAACAGACATGAGCCTGATTGTTTTTAAAAACATGGACACACAACTTGGTGTTCAGCAGGACAGAGTCAGACCTGCTCCCACAGTCTTCAGGCCATAAACCAATATGCTGGTCCCACAGGGCGGAGAAACCTGTTGCCTCATTTATGAAAAGGTTTTTGATTTCTGTTTTTTCCATTAGGAAATATTAATGCAAATCCACCAATTGTAATGGCTAAATTACAGTATGTATACAATTATTTCCACCTTTCTCATCTGGATTATGCTGCTAAAATTTTCACCTTGACTCATGATTGTGGCTGTCCTACTGCCCTCATTGCAATCTTTTTTTAGTAAATCATTTTAAAGTGATTGTTTAATTACATCTGGGAAAACATCAGAGAACATTTTCATAAATGCAGCCCTAAGTTGCCACGTGCAGGTCGACATCACAGCGAGAGGTGCCTAGGCAGACCTCTGGGTATAGAAGAGAATATAGGCCTGAGTGTTGCACACTTCCTCCACACTGCAAACCTTCATCTCAGAGTCATTACAGTGGACCCAGAAACCTGCAGATAAAAAGACAAAACTGGTTAAAAATGCAACAGAACATTAGGACAGCATATGTTAATGTGAATCAAGTCTGGCCTCTTCCTCACCTCCTTCTGTATTGTAGCAGTATGCGGTGTAGTGCCCTGAGCCGAAGCCTTTACCATGATGCATGACTACAGCAGACAGATCATAGGTGTAGCCTCCTCTGTGGACAGAGTGACCTGAGCCTGTGCAGCAGTATGGTTTGATGTTAAGAACCTGGTCAAAGGCCACATGGACGCCGATTTTCTCCCTATGGTTCCGCCCCGACCATCTGCCATACAACAGGGACTAGTCAGTGTCACAAGGATTCAGAAGCTTCATGGTAAAAATAAATTCTCCTGTACTAAATGACTCTGATGTCAGTTAGAGAAAACAAGAATAAACAACACTGTGTTTCTCAGACCTGCTTAAAAACTGAAGTTATTAATTCTAAGTAAACATTAGAAGAAAACCAGCCAGCAGAGAAACTTGCCTGAAGCGTTTGAGGTGCAGCCGTAGAACCTGAGGTAAACGGTAGATCAGAAGCTGCTTACATGCCTCTGACAGAACTAAGGGTTTGTGGGATGATTTCCGTCTTCTTTCTGGCAAACCATGAAACAGTAAGATGCTAAGTTAATCCACACAAGAATTCAAATGCATATTACTGATGTGAGGCTTTGTTCAAATGTTGAGGTGACACGCTTACAATTCATCTGGCATTGCAAACAGGTAAGGAAACATTTTTATGGCTTTCAGAAGGACTGTCTCCTCCAAGGCTTTCAACAAGTGGGCTAACAACACTCCACATTATCACCAACAACTGATTGTCCTTCATTTGAATTCTTGAAAACTGGATTTCAAATGTCAACTTCAAGACATATTCAGTAAAAATCCCATTCAAAGAAGACATTTCAAATTAAAATTCTCACTACTACTTTCTTGCTCTTCTTGCTATCTCCTGTCACTGATGTTTTTCACACTGAAAGCCCAATTTCCTTTTATGAGTTAACCTCATTTGCATAAATGTGCAACGTTTAGACACATCAAATTATTACGAAAGCTGTATTCAGACATGATTTAAAACTAAAAGTGTACGTGGAGCCTAATCACATTGAACATTCAAAATCTGGTGCATTTAAAATATTTTCGTTATTCATAACTGTTTCAGGGTTATCAGTTCCAGCTGTAGGGGGGAAATCCTGACAGAACAGAACTGAGGTCCAACATGTTTCCAGAACCTGCTGTCTTTGTTTTGCATTGTATCAAACATTGTACTAACTGTTGCAGTGGTTGCAGGCATAGATGCTGCCTTCAAGAGCCTCCATCTCTGTAAACTTGGACAGCATCTCAGTGAGGGTGCAGCTGCGCTGGTAAGCTGTAGATCCTGAGCCTTTGTCTATGCTGTGATATCGCTCCGGAAACTCCAAAGACAAATCCCAGAATGGCTCAACTGTGTTAGACTTGTGCTTACAGGACAGACACGTCACCTGAAAAACACACAGCAAGAAGAGAGGGAAACCAGGTGAAGACTCCAGTGATAAGTAGTTGTGATGTTTGTTGATGTCACAAAGTCTTAGTCTTCATTTTATGTGGTATAAACACAGGTTTGGGAAGAATAAAAAAGGCTGGATGGGTCTCTACTTTACATTATGACAACAA